CAAATTTAAATAAAATGCATCATCTGACAAGTCATCGGCTGGCGTTTCGAACCACGTCTCCGTTTCGTAATGCTCACTGGGGTCATCAACATACTCATCAGACAAATTGTATTCTTCCTCAATATCTATTTCACTCTCCATAGCGTTTTCTTTCCTTTTAGGCGTGAAACAAGCCCACTATTGAGAGTTTTATACAGCCTAATGTAATTTGACACTGTAATTTTATACATTGAAATCAACCGGAAATCAACATGATGCACCTTATTGTGCACGTGACTAGTTTTTCCTTTGAACCTCAACATAATTTGCCGCCCCTTTTGAAGTTTGCCGGCTAGCCTAACCATCCCCTTCAATTAACTGTGGTTTGATGTATACGTCTGATTTAAGTTTGTTTTGTTCGTTGACATAAATTCGTGTGTCCAGAAAATGTACAGTCTTAGTAGAGTATTCAAATTCGAATTTGATAGTCTTGTGTAGTGTGTTCATATATTCAAGGAATCTAATTAGAGATGCTTCACCGTGGCACCATATAGCAAAAATGTCATCCAGAAATCTGATCCACTCAAGAGGAGTCAAACCTTCTGGTGCATTCTTAAGGATTTTTTCCTCCAGTGCAGCCATGAAAATGTTGGCATATGAAACCGCCATGGTTGTTCCCATTGCAGTCCCGTGTGTTTGTAGGTAGTATTTGTCGTTGAATTCAAAGTAGTTGTTTTCAAGTACTAGTTTAAGCATGCTTTGTATCATTTGTATGTTGACCCCTGTAGTGTCGTGGCTGTTAAGGTGTTTAGTGGAAGCGTTAATTCCCTCACGGTTGGGTATATTCGTATACTGAATTTTAACGTCAATTGTGATTAGTATAAATTCATTTGGTAGTGTATCGTTTAATTTAAAAATGCGTTTAAGAAAGCCTGTAGAGTCCTTGATATAGGATGGTATGTGTTGTATAAGTGCTTTCAGATAAACATCTACATATTCTGATAGTCTGACGGTGGAACCCTCACATCCTGAGATAATTGGTCTTCCCGGTACGTCAGGTTTGTGTACTTTGGGAAGCAGATATAATGTAGGCTTCCTAATTGGTTTATCAATAGATAGGAATTTAAAAGTTGTGTAGTCAATAAGTTGATCTGTGGAAAGAGTTTTCACGATCTTGTTCAATTTAGTGATCAGTTGTGGAAATCGGTCCGTTTCGATAATTTTGTAGTTTCGTTTGTCGTTTAGTTGTTTGTTTGCCTCCGCTATATACGATTCTCTTGGCCAGATAACTATAGCGCCCCCTTTGTCGGCGGGTTTCACTATAACTTGTTCGCTGTTGCGAAGATTCCTTACAGCCTGTTTTTCTGCATTAGAAACGTTGCTATTTAGCCTAGTGGTGTTACTGTCTTTGTTTAGCTCGTGAGAGGTTTTGAGTTCGAGTAAAACACGAGACATGTATTCCAAAAGGTTAGCATTGTCTGGTAGTGGTGGTGTGAAGTTGCTTTTCGCTTTGAACGGATGTTTTATATAGTTGTTGTTCGAATGTCTGTAATGGTATTGAAGGTACATGTTTCTTCGGTATTGTAGGTATGATGTATACACAGATTGGTAGCCAATGGGTTTAGGTTTGGGAACAAATTTAAGTCCCTTGTTTAGTATGCTTTTAGTGGCATCCGAGACATGTATATTGGATAAGTTAATTATATTATCCCCTGCCTTTTGTTTTTGGATTTTATTTAGTAGTTTTTTTTTTGTTTTGTGTCTGTTCCTGTTTTGGTTTCGTTTGTTCTGTAGTTGTGCTAGTAGTTTTGGTTTGGTTATTGTTATTTTCGGTTGTTGTTGGTCCTTTGTTTGTTCTGAAGATAGTCTAGGATGTGTCTCGGTTGGATAAAATTTTTAATTTGTTGTTGGATGTGATTTGATAGTAATGGGTGTGTTATGGTGTTTGTTCTCGGTGAGAAGTTTTGTTTTGTAGCTGTTGTTGTAGTTGTATGTATCAGTGGATATCGGGTTGGTTGTAGTAGTGGGTTAATTGGTATTGGAGGTGTTGGTGTGTTGGGTCTGTAAAGGAAGTTTGATCGTGTTGTTGTGGGTGTCAGTGGGCCTCTTGGGCGAATGTGCGGTCTGTTAAATGTTGTCATAGAGTTAGTGTAATATGTTGCTATGTCAGTTTGTATGGGTGTATGTATGTTTCCCATAATCTGCTGTGTATTATGTGTCTGTATTGGCGTAGAGTTTTTTGCAGTCGTAGTATGTATTGGTTTATCGTTGTTGTTGTTTTCCGTCAAGTATAATTATAACAGGGGTGGCCTACTGTAAGGGTAATACGCAACTCATAGTTCAGCAGTTATCGTATTAATTACAATTGATTTCACTTAGTCAACATCACGAAATTTTCCCACAACCAACACACATATATATATATATATATATAAATTGATAGGCAAAACAAAACATAACAATTTCGACTGTCCACATATAGCGGTACCTTTAAAACAACGGAACTTGGCACGGATATGGACACAGATACGGACAACCCAAACAACAACGATATTGATAACCTGATGGAATTAGAGCACAGCATAGACACCAGTGATATAATACAGACAGAACCTATAGAATACAATTTCAGCGACACACAAATCACAAAACTTCTAGACACAAACGACGACATATGCCAACTACAAATGGACGCCCTGTCCTTGACAAGGAGAGGGTCGACAAGTATATATACTAACAATAAACTAAACACAAACGAGAACGATCCATTATTAACGAACGACAGTACAACAAAAAATTTGGACAACTCACAAACAGACAATGACAGCGACACTGGCCTACAAAACGTAACGCAAAAAACGCCTCCTCAAACTGACCGTAACCAACCCAACACAAATACCCCAGACGAACCAAACAACAACCCTGACTAGAAAACAGACACACAAACTGACAACGTAGAAACAGCCTCTTCGACATACAGACTACTCTCAACTATCCCGAAAGAAAAACAAATTAAGACGAAAACAATACTGGAGAACCTCACGACCCACAAAACAGACGGAACATTACCCAACAACCTAAACAAAACAACGGACTGCCACATCATACTAGACGAAGACCTCCGACAACGCTGGGTGCAAGCACCCAGAGATGCCGCCTACAAACAACTCGACATCTTACTAGAACAACAAAAACGGAAACTTACAAATATAGAAACAAAAATAACACACGCTACAAAACGAATAAGGGACAACATCACCGACGTTACAAAAACAACAGAAATACTAAAACGAACAGACGAAATAAGCCAACGTTTCTCGGCAAGATGGATGTCAAAACACGGCACCCAACGCTACAAACCGAACAAAAACATTGATTTATTTACTTTGCCGTCGTCCTTATACATTCATTGGCTGGGAAACCACAACAGCTATTGCCAATTACAGCGGCCCCAATAGTTATACAGAAACAATTTACAAGGTATACGAAACACACACAACAGACAATACTTGAACAACAGTCATTACATTTGTCTAAAAGCAGCATGTCAATGGAGAGTTCATTAAACTTCGAGCGGAATTACATTTTATACACACACTTTTCCATGTTCGGGGATCCTCAACATCGTATGTATTTTCTAATGCTAAAATATAGTACTTAAAAAGAAGATTCTTGAATTCTGAAAATGTTAGGTCTTTGGATGTAATATAATTGGGTAGTGTGTTCCATATTCTTGATGTTCGGATTTTGTAAGATTTTTCATAGGTTGACGTTTTGTATGTCGGAATTTTATATTTGTTCGAGTTGGGATTAAATGATCTTGTCTGTCTTTGACCCTGAGGTTGAGGAAATGGAAGAATTTTTTTATCAATATTAAAAATGTCGTGATTTGCCTTATGGAAGAATACTACATCCAGGTATTCGTGCCAGTAGCTGAGAGGGAGCAAACTGGTTGCAAGGAGTCGGTCTCTATATTCTGTATCACAAATAAAGGGAACATTTAAAATATATTTAGTTGCACGCCTCTGAACTCGTTCTACTCTTTTCACCAACTCAACTGTTTGGGGTGCCCATACTTGGGTGGCATATCCTAAGTGTGAGCGAACCAGAGAAAGGTACAGTGTTCGTCGAATTTCAAACTCGCGAATATTGAAAGTTGAACTTCGAATATAACCCAGCATTTTATTAGCTTTGCTACTTTGTTGTGTAACTTGCTTTGACCAAGTGAGATCATAATTCGTCCATACACCTAAATCGAGTTCGCAATCAGTCTTTTCTAGTATGGTATCTTGTAGTTGATAAGGGAAATCTATTTTGTTGTGTTTCCTGGTGACCTGGAGGGTTTTACATTTTGATGTGTTAAGATGCAGACCAGCATTGGATGAGGAGGAATTAAAGTTGAGAAGATCATTTTGTAATAACATTGCATCGTTCCTGGAGTTAATCACTTTAAAAATCTTAGTGTCATCAGCGAAAGCTGCTACGTTCGAATTCACGATGGAAGAGGATAGATCATTGGTATATAAGAGGAAAAGTAGCGGGCCAAGAATGGAACCTTGTGGTACTCCGGATGTCACTGGTAGTGCTGTCGATGTTGCACCGAGAACAGTAGTTTGTTGTTGGCGATTTTTCAAGTAAGAATTAAACCACATTAAGAGATTTCCTCCGAATCCAAATTCTCTGAGACGATGTAGAAGACGTACGTGACTAACCTTATCGAATGCTTTTGACATATCCAGGTAGATCACATCAATCTGCTTTCCGAGATCTAATTGGCTGCCGATGGTATCTAAAACTTCAATTAGTTGTGTCACGCATGATTTTCCTGAAATGAAGCCATGTTGGCAAGAATTTATTTGACTGAAAGCATGTTCTTTGATACTAATGAACACGCAACGCTCTAAGACTTTGGAGACAAGTGAGAGAAGAGAAATTGGCCGATAGTTTTCTACATGATCTTTATCCCCCTTTTTGTGGATGGGTACAACATTGGCAAGTTTCCATTCTCGACGAACTAGTCCACTTTTTAAGGACTTGTTAAACAGAAGGCATAGAGATGGAGCGATTTGGTATGCAGTTTCGGTAAGTAATCTTGCTGGGATTTCATCCGGACCGTGCGCTTTGTTGTTATCAAGATTTCTTAAAACTGAGCGCACTGTTCCTTTCGACAAAACAATGTCATTAAAAATAGTGTCAGTGGTTTCGGATATAGATTGTTGATTAACAATATTGATAGGATCACTCGAGAAGATTGATACAAAGTAGCGGTTGAAAAGTGTTGCGATGTCCCTAGGATTCTCGGCATATTCACGAACATTGTTGACACTTGTTTTTATTGAAATTTTTTCCGGGACAGAACGTGTTGCGCCTTTTAGTTTAAATAGTGACCAGAAACGTTTAGAATTGGTTTGGATGTTTGTGCAGAGAGAGGAAATGTAGTTGGATCGGCTGATTTTTATCATAAGCTTGATTGTGGCTCTGAGAGTTTTAAACTTGTGGCGGAGATAGTCACTGGGAGATTTTTTCAATCTTTGTCTTAAGGAATTTTTCTTTTTGATGTTGTGCAAAATTTCACCAGTAAGCCAAGGCACATATTTTCGACTTCGAAGTCTTTTAGTTGGGATATGATCAGCAACTATTGTAAGGAAAGTACTTTTCCAGATCAGCCAGTCGTGGTCAATATCGCCTTCCGCTGATATTAGATTGGACAGATTCTCGGATTCGAGTGATGATCTTAAAGCATCGAAATTGCCACGTTGGTAGTCGTATACTGTTCTATTCATATTTACTGGAGATTTTGGAGATATAAGGACATCAAAGAGAATTATATTGTGATCAGTGAAAACTTCTGCTTCAGCAGGAGATAAAACTTCATGAATATTTACAAGGTTGGGAACATTGGTAAGCACAAGGTCCAGCACGTTGTTGCGTCTAGTTGGTTTGTTGATAAGTTGTGTTGAGGCTAGCTCAACACTTCCGGTCAGTGATCGAAGTTTAGCGAGTTTCCGGTGAACATCCGGGGTTTTCGACGAACATAAAACGTTTTTGTTGTTTTGTTTCGAAGGATTATATTTGGACTTTAATAGCAAAAAACTAGCTTTAATACGGGATTATCGACATTCGGTAAGACATTTAAAGTTTGATTATGTATTTCTGTCCTATATGTGAGCATTTTGTTATGTAAGAACTGTAAATTGTTTGTAAATTTACGTATATATTTAGTGTATTTTATGTATTTTCATATTTTTGTTAGAATAAAACAAAGTCAGACAGAAACGTCAATTGTCACATTCGCGTCGATACAAAAGAACAAGCAAAGAAAGCGTATAGGGTCAAAGCACCTATACATAGTTTTATTCGAATGATCAGCCAACCATATGCGAGTTCTAGTCGAAGCACGTAGAAATTCCTGTGGTTTTCGCCTGATGTTTATTTAAAATTGTATACAACGCTTTATGAATACCTGTTAAAGTCAAGTGAGTTTATACTTATTTTGTTTATATTGGACTTGTGTTAACTGATCAACTACGACTAAAGTAAATCAACATTTGGATATTTGTTTGAATAAATCAACATTTGGATATTTGTTTGAATAAATCAACATTTGGATATTTGTTTGAATAAATTAACATTTGGATATTGGATCAACTACGACTAAAATAAATCAACATTTGGATATTGGATCAACTACTACTAAAATAGAACAACATTTGGATATTTGTTTGAATAAATCAACATTTGGATATTTGTTTGAATAAATCAACATTTGGATATTTGTTTGAATAAATCAACATTTGGATATTTGTTTGAATAAATCAACATTTGGATATTGGATCAACTACTACTAAAATAGAACAACATTTGGATATTCGTTTAAATAAATCAACATTTGGGTAATTGTACATTTGGCACAACTGAATATTTGAAAGATACAATTACATATGTATTGGGTGATTTATCTGTGATATGGATTGGGCCAATAGAAATACCAAGTGGTCACAGAGAGAACGTATGCAACAAGTTTCTGATGATGTTCTCGCTGAAAAGGTGTACTCGTCAAAAAGAACAAGAGCAGGATACTTGGGAGCTGTTACTCGTGTTCGTGGCAAAATTGAAACTCTATTAAACGACCCAACTAATGCCGAGACTGTTAGAACACTTTCCCAGCAGTATGATAATTCATGGAAAACATTTGTGGAGTCACATAACTACTACGTATCTATACTTGGCTCAGACAGCCAAGAGTTCTACCATACCCTTCAACAGTTTGACCAGTTACACCTTGAAAAGATTGCCTTTGTTCAGAAAATCTCTGGATACCTACTTGATGCCGCAACCTATTTTAATGAGATAATCATGGATAACTCACACTTGCGAAGAGAACACATATCACCATATACTGAAAGTGTGGAGTCCTATAGATCTAATAGTTCCAGAGGATCGAAGCATTCTTCAAGCTCAGTAGTACTGGAAAAAAGAGCCCAAGCTGTAAAGGCAAATGTAGCTTTACGCTTGGCAGAGCAAGA